GATTGTGGATTCAAGTTATATAAAAATCATTAACAATTTGGTTAATGGTTTTTTTCCCCCTCTCCATCTATTATGGCACTGCCTATCAGACCAGTTGCAATAATTTTTATCTTCTTGGTGTTGATGTAATCCAAATTGAAGGCTATAGTCTTTTATCTTCTGCAGCAAATTTCTGAAGATCTCCTCAGTTTTAGCAAGCAAGGTTGTTTCATATGTATAAGGCAGGCTGTGGGTGAGTCTTCTTCTGATCCGGATTCCCCTTCCCAAAGTCTACCGAAATAATTTTCTCAGCATAGAGATTGAGTAGATATGGAGGAATAAAACAGTCTTGACACAAACCTTTCCAGATTTTAAACCATGCAGTGTTCCTCTGCTTTGTTCAAACAACAGCTTCTTAGTCTAGGTATAGGTTTTGTCCGAGCATAATTAAGTGCTCTAGCATTCCTATTCTTCTCAATATTAGTCACAATTTGTTATTATCTACAGTCAAATGCCTTTGCATAGTCAATAAAGCACAGGCAGACATTCTTCTGGTATTCTCTGCTTTCAGCCAGGATCCATCTGACATCAGCAATGATATCCATGGTACCACAGCCTCTTCTAAACCAAGTTTGAACATCTGACAGTTTTGGATGGTCTTTAGCACATGCTTTTCAAAACCCAAACCCAAGCAACCATTGTATAGTTAGATCTCTGGATCGGGAAAGAACCAAGGCCAGTCTGATTGCCGTCCCTGGAGGCACGAGCGAGAGTGTAGTCATCACTAGTTGAGCATGTTGCTGGCAACCTGAGCTCATTTCATGGCCTAGGCATCATGTGAGAAATTGTTATTAGGAAGCTTTGAGATGGTCCTGCCTCATAGTGACCTTATGTATAAAAAAACCTGCCTAAGCTTATGCCATCCTCACAATTGTTGCTATCTTTGAACCTAATGTTCCAGCCACCATGTCACTCCACCTCATTGAAGGTCTTCTAGCAAAAAGCTGGCCTTCTAAGTTTACCAAGGATGATATCTTTCTCCGGGCATTGGTCCCTCCAGATAACATGATCCAGAGTTAGTGAAACAAAGCCTGGCCGTCCTTGCCTCTAAGGGCACTGAGGCTGTGCTTATCCTAAGACCTATTTGTTTGTTCTTCTAACAATCCATAGTAGACATTCTTCACCAACATCATAATTCAAAGGCATCAGGTATTCAACTTTCTTTATTCATTTTCTGACTTTAACATGCATATGGAGATATTGCAAATTCTATAGCCCAGGTAGGTACACCTTTTTCCTCAAGGTGGCATGTTTGTTTTCTAGTATTTTAAAGAGGACCTTTTTTGTAGTAGATTTACTCAATATAATAAAACTTGGGTTTCTTGGCTGCTATTGTCACAGGAAGTATTCTGTCAGGGACCTCTCCATAGTGTTAAAGAGCAATGATGTCAGTCTAGAGACCAAGGTACACCTGATCCAGGCAAAAATGGTCTTTGCAATTACTCACTATGCATCAGAGAGCTGGACAATGAATAAGGATGACAGAAGAAGAATCAATGTCTTTGAGTTATAGTGCTGGAGAAGAATATTGAAAATACTTTGGACTGCCAAGAGAATAAACAGGTCTATCTTAGAGAGGGTGAAACCAAGCTACTCCTTGGAAATAAGGATTTTGAAGTTCCATTTCACATATTTTGGGCATGTTGGAGAAGGACATCATGCTTGGAGGGGTGAAGGATAGTTCAGGCGAGGAGCACCCTAGATCAGATGGATTGACACAGTATCTAGGGTAATAGGGGGTAAGTGTGTCAGATTGGCTCAGGATAGCACAGGGTTCAGAGCTATCATGCATAGGATTGTTGGGAGTTGCAGGCAACTCAATTGCACATAACCACAACAACTTTTTCATTGATGGTGGAATCTAGTCCTTAAAAATATCAGTCTTTCCTCTGTTTATAATGATATAGCTTATTGATCCAGTTCCGAAGATTTTTGTTTTCTTTACATTGAGATGTATGTAACCCGCACTGAAGGCTAGTCTTTGACCTTCCTCAGTAAGTGTCCTGCTAAACAGACTGTACACAAGGGGGCAGCAGAGAACCATCAGCAAAAATAGATGCCCTGGTCCAGAAGTCAGGTGACTTGAATGGTCTGAAGTTAGAGACAGGCCTACATAAAGATTTTAAACCAACGTCCTACGTAGGAAGGCAGAAGTGCTTTGCACATAATAACTTGGGCTGTGACATCAAATTGTCAAGATTCATCTCTGTCACCAGAGCTGGCTTCAGAGGGCATGTGACCTGGGCAATCATTCACATTTGCTATAATATTTTACAGTTTCTGCCTTAAAAGTCTAGTACTTTTTAACAAGGGTCTCACATTTTTATTTTGCACTGGGTCCTGGGACTTTTACAGCTTGTCTCTTTTGTTAGTGGTGATCTTTTATGGAGTTAATACCAAGTGCTCGCTGTATAAGGTTGCTATCAAGATGAATTAATTTGAAAAGTGCACGTTGTTATTGAGCTGGAACTAATCCACAGCTAACCCTCTCCTGCAGGTTTTCAGAGGCAGCTAATCGCACAGGAGGAGAGTGCCCATACTTCTCCCACGGAGAAGCTGGTGGATTTGAACCACGTGCCTTTGGGATTGCAGTGCAGCTTCTTACCACTAGACCACTAGTGCTCCCTGAAAAGTGCACAGAACACATAATAAATATCCCAATACTGTTGTTGTTGTTGTTATGTGCCTTCAAGTCACCTGGGACTCATAGCGACCCTATGTACAACAGCCCTAAACCCTGCTCTATCCTGTGCCAATCTCACTGTCTCTGACACACCTCCCCCAATTACCCCAGGTACTGAGTCAATCCACCTCATAGAGGGTCTTCCCCTCCTGTGCTGTCCCTCCACCCTCCCAAGCATGATGTATCAGTTACTGTTGTTATTATTATAGGGTTCAGACATATATAACATATATGTTATATATAACATATATCACTGAAGGCTGATGCTCACTTTACTAGAGTAAAGCTCCATCCGTCTGTCTCCATCCATCTTACTTTAAGCCAGCTGTGTTGGGCCAGTGCCAACTCATGGTGACCTCACATGCTTCATGGCAGAACTGTGCTCCGTGGGGTTTTCCGTGACTGCTTCAGAAGTAGATGCTCAGGCTTTCCTTTTGAGTTGCCTCTCAGTGAATTTCAGCCTTCAACCTCTCACTTAGCAGATACAGAGCCATTTGGACCACAGAGTGTCTTATTAAGGGACCAACGTGCATTTGATCTTAGTCTGGGCCCCAGTCAGGACTCTTGTCACCAGCTAACTTGGCTCTCCACAGACCTCAGGGAGGTGAAGGAAAGAAAGATAATTCCCCCCCCCCCATCTGTGGGTCTAGAGTGGGGTACAGAACACTGCAGCTTATGGGCTCAGTGATGTCTACTGTCAGTTTATGTAAATAAAGTTTCACTGGAACATAATTACTCTTGATCATTTACATATTGGTTGCTTTCTTGCACTAATGGCAGAGTTTAGTTTGAGACAGGGACCAGACGGACTGCAAATCTGAAGATATTAAATCTTTGCCTCTTACAGCAGACACTTACCAACACCCACAGCCTGGCAGGCATCCCAGACCTGCGTCTGAGGACCAAATGTGGACCCGGAAACCTCAGGAAATGCCAGGATGATGAGAGGACAATGCGGATGCCCTCTCCCTCTCATCCCTGCCACCTCCGTCTTGTCTCCAATCAGTCACCACGAGCAGAGCTCCTGCAATTTAGATACAAACCCAGAAATGTGGGCAGGATACCCTGAGATGTCACCAGCACAAACTGGGAGAGGGGTAATCTGGCTGATTTATGCTTCACTCCCATCTCTTTGTGTTCTTACCACAAACCCCCCAACCTCTGAAGAACACTTGGGCTCTGGGTTCCCTCTGGTTCTTGCTTTCCACAGCCTGTCGCTGGCCTTCGGCATGCCATTAACATTGTAGAGTCATTCTTCTCATACACCTGCAATTCTTGTGTCCATATTCCCATCTCTCTTCCAAAGTATCCATTATCTAAATTTCAGAGTTTTTGTCAGAGTTTCAGCATCTTCGTTGGTTCATAAAAAGTTATGATTTTGAGGAAAATCTAGTGTTTTCCTTCTGTAAAGGTAAAAGTGGCACTCTAGAGATTTTTGGATCTGAGCAGAAGTCATCTGCCCCCTTCTTTTTAGGATGACACTAGAGGGCTTTATCCCAAGGTGGTCACTACATGAGAATGATCCAGACCACAGACCAGCTGCTGGAGGACGTAGCCTCAAGGAGAGACTGGAGGGGATCATGTGCGGAGTGAAGGCATCACTGACCTCACACAAGGTAACCATAGCACTCCTTTTCACCACATTCTAGAACATCCTCAGTCTGAGAAATCCCCAACTTCACCAGAAGTTCTACACTGAGGAGAGGGACACTCCACTCTGGCCAACAGAAAACCGGGTGGAAGTTATTGAGGGCCAGAAAGATGGGACAAATCAGAATCCAGTTCTCCAGTAAAGACCCTTCCTGCTGATGGAAAAAGCCAGAAACAAATTCACTACCTTTGGCCCAACTCAGGGCAACCTTATTTATTACAGAGTAGATCTGAGTTCTGCTGTGTTTTGGATTTTTTTTTGGTTTTGATTTACTGCAATCTTTATGAAAGCAGATCATCAAACCTTTCCTCTTTCATTTTCAAGACTGCTGAGTGGATTCGAACTGCCAGACTTTCAGGCAGTGGTCAAGTATGGGGGCCACTCAGGGACCTCATGTTCTCTACAAAGCAAAGTTTAATCTCCAACCCGAGACAAAGATACTACTACTTTGGTCTCCAAAACATTTATTCCCAAAACTGAGGCCACAAGTTTCCCCCTCCCTGATTTCTACCAGATAGTTCTCCAACCTCAAAGATAAGAAACATTTTGAGGTCATAAACGCCTTGTATCAAATATCTCTGTTCTGACTCTTCCAAGCCCCCCCCCCCCCCCCGCCGGGAGCTCCGCTCACAGCTCCACATGCTTTGTCTGTGAGGACTGCTCTGCTGCCTTCTTGGGCAGGACCTCCGTCCAGAAAGCCACTTCCTTGTCTTTCAGCTTCTGGGCCGCCTTAGCTGTGACATCGATTTGTAAGTATCCCTCCTTCTGGTCGTAGGCTGGCCAATGAGGCAGGCCCTCTCCATTGGGATTCCTGCGAATAGAATCAAATAGAAATTGTCTAAAGCTAAAGTGGGAACTGAAACAACCCTCTGAAATGTGTAGGGATCTCCTGGCTTCCTTTCCCCCACCCCCCTCAGGAAGCTCATTCACTTCTAAAACAGGAGCTCACCATCTCTGGGGGGAGCTTGCCCCCTTTTAGAGAGCTCTCATAGTTAAAGCCCTATGGTCATAGAGCCAAGAGCTTCACCACTTAAACTTTACAAGTCATCCCGTTCACAGCAAATAGATCCCACTCCCCTTCCCCTCCCCCCGAGGCCTCTCTCACCCAGTCCGAGCAAAGTTGGCCCACAATTTCATCACCATCTTGCTAAGTTTGACCTCTTCTTCTGTGCCTCCCTCTGTTAAGAAGAAAAAGAATATATATGTGTGTGTGTATATATATTTCTTTTGCTGTTCAGAGTATGATCCATGCATCCACAACATCAAATAAAATGTACTTGTTAGAAATGTAGAATCTGGACCTTTTAGCCAAAATTCTTGGTAATTTCTGTGAGTTTTAGGCTGGGTGAGTACTGATTGAGGATTAAATGGCAGACCCATCGCCAGCCTGTAAGTTTGCTCTATTTTATCGTTTTGTGCTCACACATTCCTTTCCCCCCCTTCAGAATCATAATGTCAACACCCCATAACTACCTCCACAGCAACGCCTTTATTGAACATTATCTCAATCTCATACATGTGCCTACATTTCTATAGAATCTGAGTGGGGAGCAGAACCTCAAACCCAAAGACAGTCAAAATGGTCCTACCAACCAGGAGTTAAGTGGCTGGTGTGTCATAGACAGCCATGAGGTGAGCCATAAGTCGTCTGTACCATCTAGTAGTTAAGTATGGAAAATACTCTTGAAAGATTTACTTTACAATACTGAATCATTACATATATAAAATTTGAAAAGATGTTAGTTTTACATAGATGATAAGATAGATCGTGGATAAAGAATCGGTAAATAATAGACAAATAGATAAAAGAGTTGCAAGTGACTTGACGACACATAACAACAACAATAGACAAATAGACACACACAGAAGTGGTTCAAAGTTAGCTCCACGTCTAATCTTAAACACATCCTGTTATCCTCCTATGAGTGGGAAATGACAGGGTAGCCTTCTAGCCCTAGAGAAGGCTCCTGCAGCTGACCTATACCTATACTATTGATGTCTCAGGTGCAGATTCTAAGAATAACCATGGCTGAGGACATGCAGATCCACATTTTCATGGTGCGTGTTAGAGCAGGAACAA